ACAACTACTTGACTTAGAGCTGATGGGTCCTGGAAAAACACACTGTTCCCCAATTTAAAAAAAACAACAACACACTCTTCTACGCGTATGTTACTACAGGAGCTTCTGAGCTAGGAATAGAAGGGGAGGAAAAGAAATGAACAGGTCAGTTATGATGATGTGCCAGGTATACAGCAGTTTCCTCATTAACTTTATGAGATATTTTTACCCCCATTTATAGATGGGGAAACCGAAGCTTAGAAAGGTTATACAACTTGCCAGTGAAGCAAAACAGCCAGGATTTGAACCCAAGTCTGTCCGACACTTTCCAGCTTCTTTCCACTGCAACAAGCCCAGAAGCGAGGACTCCAACTTGGGCCTGGGGTGGGAGTGCTATAGTCCGAGGAAAGCCCCCAAATTCGCCACAGGTCACGACGCTTACTGCCTCTTAGTTCAGGCTTATATCTGGAAAGATTAAAATTAACGAAAACTGCAAGGAACCATAATGATACCCCAGAATTATTCCTATACCATTGGCAACGGTTCTGGTACTGCATTTCTCTGTGATAATATCAATATTTTTATTTACATTCCTGGTCCTTAAAGATTTGGGTGGGTCTCCGCCTGGGCTCCTGTTTCTTCATGCCAACACAGATGTGATCATGATTTGGCACAGACTCCAAGCTGGGCTTCGGCAGATGTAGTCAGCAGGGTTCCACTCTAAGTGGGGACTTCTCCATCAGGGCGGTGCCACACCAACCACCGCACAAACTTGTTTTCTGCCAACGCCCAAGCGGATTCAATCTCAAAGATGCTGAGGAAGCTGATTCGGCCGATAATAAGAGGCCACCTTGCATGTGTCCCTTTCCTGGCCACGGTGTCACTTGGACAGGTGTCAGACTTAGCATCACTCGAGATGGGACCATTATGGACTTGAAAAGCTGCTGTCATTCCAAATGCAGCTTCTCGCAGCCAAAAACACACACGGTGCTCAGGCATGCGCCAAATGGGTGGAAATATGGGCAACTTCCCTGCTGTCCGCAAGCACTAATGATCGAATCCCCAGCAGAGGCCCAGGCTGTGGTCCAAACACACTGTTCCTTTAGAGCCCATTTGGTACTAAATAAAAACTCTCACCATAGTTATCAATTTAAATCATAATCCCTGTTTATACTGTTGAATTTTCATCCATCTGTACTCTTCTGCTGCCTTCATCAAAACTAGTTGACCGGCCCCAAAAACACTTCATCAAGCAAGTGCTTTATTCCAGTCAGGAGCCGGGTGATTAGGTGCTGGAAAAGTAGCTTGACATCCAGTCCAGGAAGTTAATTACTAACATAATTATCAAAACCTTTTATTTTTCAGGGTTAAGTCAAGCATCTCTGTGGGCAGGGTATCTTTTTGGTTTGGTTGTTCTCCAGTTGACATGTCATTAGCTCTTAAGGACAAGGCATCTTTGGGCTTTTTAACGCCAACACACAAATATCTAAATATGTATTCCATCTACAGAAGGTTCCCTCAATCCCCAAAATTCACCCACAGGGTTTAAAAGTGAAACAAATTCATAAAATTGATTAACCCATCACCCAAAACCCTCTGTCACCCAAGGTTGTCTCTAAACATGTTCTATAGCAGATACAAGAAACTTAATATTATTTTTTTTCTCCCTGTAAAATGTTTTAGGCTTCTAATATGTTATTTCCTCTTAGCGCTTTGGCGGATTATTCCTCTCCAAGCCATCTCATATTCAGCGTTGACAGGGCTGCTTACTAGCATAGAAAGGAAAGAATTAAGCTGCAGGTCTTCAGACCCGAAGCTTCTCCAACAGCAGAGCAGAGAGGAAGTTTGTCAGCTTGTCTGGAGACAGAACTCCAAGTCTAGAAATACAGGTGAAATCTGATGCAGTCAAAGGAAGTGTTATGGACTGAAAGTTAAAGCTTTTCAAGAAAATCAGTTCCCGTCAGGACTCAGTCTGTGATGAGTTCATGACCTCCAGAGGGAACTTTCTGTAAGTGGACAGTGTTCCATGCGTGGTCCGAAGGATGACCTTAAAACACGTCTAACACGGACCTCTAGAGTCCTGGGCCATGGGAATGATATGTGAAACACAGGGCACGTACTCTAGTCTTCACCAGTTAAGACCTCCCCTTTCCCGGGGCAACCTGCCTGGAATCGCAAAGAAAAAGAACTTGAATGTGACAACTGGGGATCTTACTTTTCTCACGGTTTAAAGGATGAAGAGTGTTTCCAGCCTGGCTCGAATTAGCTCTCATCAATTTTACCCACCACCACATTTTAGCACCTTTGATGAGAACTAATTAAGCTCATGTGGTGTTTTTTTCTCCCCAGGCTGCCTTTTGCAGCTCTGGAACAGAGCACACCAAATTAGGCCCATCTGTCTAAATGGGAACAAGTTACTTACCCCACTGCCCGGCAGGCTTCCCTTCCTACCTAGAAGCTGCCTTCTGAGGTTCCCAAACACCAGGGGATGATTATGGCAACCCCAAATCTTAACCGGCTAGAATTTGGGGGAGAGCATTGAATGCGGTATCAAGGATCGTCTACTGATTGATATCAATCATTGCCTTGAATGGTGAAATGTCCTAGGAGGCCACAAAGTATGTCGCCAGACTATGTTGTTCAAGGTCAAAATTGTAACAGTCAAGAATTTGGGGGGCCGGCCGAGTGGCGCGATGGTTAAGAACTCGCTTGGGATGCCAGAGGGCCCCAGTTCGGATCCCACATATGAGGGCCAGTGACACTGCCCTCTACAGCTAAGAGGCTGAACAACGGCTCAACCTGGAGCTGGGCTGCTGTGAGCGACGGCGTGGGTTGCCATGGGCTACCGTGTGTAGCCAGCAGCCAGCGTGAGCGGCCAGCAGCTGCAGTGAGCGGCCGTCCAGAAGCCAGCAACGATCTGCCTCACCCGGGAAGAGCGCAATGATGGTGCCAACTTGGGCCAGTGAAGCAACATCCTCCACAACTAGACTGAAGAACAAAATGACAGCAACTTGTCTGTCCCCCTTCCCCCAATTCCCCAGCACTGTTCCCATCCCCCCAATTCACCAATAAAAATCTTTAAAAAAAAAAAAAGAATTCGGTGCAATATTTAAGTTGTTCTGCAGCAATCTTGCCAAAAGGAAAGTTTTTCATTAACTATATGCCAACAGGAGAGGCTAATTAAGTTTAACAGAGCACAGGAGTCTTTTGCTACATCAGGTTACTTTCTTTAAAGGAAGAAAATAAGCCCACTATTCACACAAGCCAGGGGACAGCATTACAGGAAAAAAGCCCTTGGCAATAAAGATGTCCACGTGACTGCCTGGGCCATGGTATCAGGCTTTCATCTGCCCCCAACTGATGCTTCTCAGCTTCAACTGTTGACTCCATTATACTAACTCCCACACCTGCCAACTGCTACATCAGTGAGCAAAAGAGAAATAAAATCAATAATTATTTGACAGTCATGAATTAAAGTGCCTAAGAAGGCCAGCATCTTACTTAGGGGAAGTGGATCATGTCCACCTGTAGAATATGCAGCAGTGGCGCCTAAACCACTTGCTGGGTCCCTTATATAACCGGTCCTTTATAACATAAAAGAAGTTATTAATAAAAGAATTATCTGTCACTAGTTATTGGAGTTTTTTTCATTCCTACCATAGGTAGATTTATGGAAAGTTTTTTCTTAAAATAGGATTCAGGCGGCCGGGTGGCTCAGTTGGTTAGAGAGCATGTTCTGAACAACAAGGTTGCCGGTTCGATTCCGGCATGGGATGGTGGGCTGTGCTGCCCCCCACAACTAGAGTGAAAATGACGACTGGACTTGGAGCTGAGCTGTGCCCTCCACAACTAGATTGAAAACAACTTGAATTGGGGCTGATGGGTCCTGGGAAAAAAAAACACACTGTTCCTCAATAAAATAAAATTAAAAAAAAAAATGAATTCAATTCCATCAGCAGTTTTCAAACTCTTATTTTTCTTTTAAAAAGATCCACATTTCAAAGATCTATTTCAAAACAGATCCAGGTAGTCCCCCACTATATAAAAGAAGTTCACAGAAGAGGTGGTCTGGACCAGGGCACATGGAGGTTTAGCCTTTTGTTCTGCCTCCCATTCCTGAAGAGGTCTTGAGGTCACCACCGTGAAACAAAACAATTTGAAACACACTGAACCAAAGTGAATTCAAGTATAATATATGTAGCAAATTTCAATTAATAAACGGAGACAGTTTCAGTAAGATACTTTATAACAAATGCACAACATGGAAATACTAGCACACGTATAGATTACCTAGAGAGCACCTAAGCTATTTATTTGCTATTTATCACATACAAGTTCAAATGTTCCATCAATCATACACATAAAGATCTTTACCAAACAGTCAAATGGATTTCAATACACCTGAGTGAGAGAAGGGAATACAGCCATGAAGAATGGTGATTACAAAGAGGCCTTAATGACATGGAAGAGCTATAATAAAACGTTAAGTAAAAAAACCAAGAATTAGATTGTTGATAGAAAAATGCCCAGAAAAACACTGAGGAGAGATCTGCGAAAACACCAATAACCAATGTGGTTATTGCTAGGAGGGAGATTAGAATGGTTTCCTGCTGCTTTAAATCTTACTTTGTTTCTAGAAGAAAAAGAAGGGGGGTGGAGGAGAGGAAGGGAGGAAGGCAAGGAGAAAAGAGCTAGCCTAGACATCCTTTGGGCTTAAAGGTCAATAAAAATGTAGTACTGTATACACTGGTCAACAGGAAAAGCATCCTTTTCCCTTAAATTAAAAAAAAAAAAAATCCAGTCTTTTAATGAATACAAAGATTTGATGGTATTGTCCCAGATAATACTAATTCAAATGTTTGATGTCTGCAAAACTGGGTGAATCCTTTAGGGATCTGAATTTTTTTTACTCCAAACCAGCTGACTAACGCTCCACGTACAACTCGGACCGTTAAAAGGCCCCAGGAGCGCGGCTGGGAGCAGCCGCCGGGCAGGCCCCATCCCCAGCGCCCCCCACTCACCACATCCAGGTCCTGCGAAACCCGCCGTTTCCGCAGCTCCTCCATCCTCTCGCACACATCAGAGAAGCAGGTGTTGTAATAGTCTGCATACTGCTGCGCCAGGTCATCGATGTTGCCCAGGGAGCCGTCCTGAGGGCGAGGGGGGTGGGAGAAGAACAGAAGCCGTCAGTCCCCCTGCAGAAGTCCCACGTCATTTGGTCTCCCTCTCCACAGCCTTTTCAGGAATAACAGCCAATACTGGTAAGCGGGGGACATGTGCCGGACTGAGCTTTACATGTGACATCTCCTAATCCTCAGGACAGTCCTTGGACACAGGACCAGTTTCCTCTCTGCATAGACAGACAGGCACTAGCTCAGAGAAGTTAAATGACAGCCCCAGGATGGCAGGGCTAACAAGCAAAGAAG